TGCAGTCCCTGGCTCACAAAATGCCATATTCTTGGCAGGCAAATCCACAGGTTTTCTTCATGATTTTTTTGATGTTGTACTGAAAGGAAAATAAAATGAGTTGAAATCAGTACTTATGCACTCATCCAAGCTGACAACACCCAGACATGCTTTAAAGGAAAATAGTTTTTGCCGAGAATGGCTTTATCTCAGCACTTAGTATTTTGAAAACTGAAAGGAGAACTGCAAAATAACTGGTTTCAGAGTAGCAGCCGTGTTAGTCTTTATTATGCTCTAATAAATTTGTTAGTCTCTAAGGTGCCACAAGTACTCCTGTTCTTTTTCCAAAATAACTGATAACCCTCAGCTATATATTGGTTTGAACAATGAGTGTTTCAGAGCCAGGCTTTCACCCATTGAAGTAATTGGGTGCATTATTTGGTAAAGGTTGTCTCAGCCAGAGTGACAAAGGGAAATAGGTAACATGAACCAGTAGTAGCTGACTTCAGTGATACTTCTGGGGGAATGAGATACTGCTCAGGATGAGTAAGAGAGGCAGAATCTGGACCCAAATGGGAATGGATGACAAGTCACTTGGATATTAAAAGGTTCTTTGTTTTTCTTTTGTTTTTATATTTACAAGAGACATAAGGTCAATTTTAGGAAATGAATTTCTACCAATATAGGTATGCTAATCATCATTAAAACTACCTTCATTTGTGTTGGAAGAGAACAAAAATACATATGGTTAGTGTAGCATCAAAGAAAGCAATCTAGGACCCAGTTCTACAATGCACAGACCAATATGTAGTTTTATTCATTAAGCTAGTAACTAAGATAGAGGTGTAAGTGTTTGCAGAACTGGGTCCAGCCCCAGGTTGCTGGAATGGGCTCTTTAAATCATAAGAAGTCACACTAATCAGATTTCTGGATATCTGAAAATTAATAGTAAGCCCTGATTTGCATGTGGCTTTTTAAGACTCCTACTTTTCTTTATATTGTTTTTTCAATGTAGTTAACATTTTTCAGCCAGCACAGTGGTGAAGAAAAATCTTGCGGATCTATATCATCGCTTTGGAGAACCTGGGGTAGCCAATACCACGTTGCACGCTCATCCCAACATTTTTAAAGGCTAGAAATCTCTTGAACTGTCCTAGGGTGAATCCAGCTCCCCTTTTAACAGGCGTTGACTAGTAACCTGTGATGCTTGAATCAATTCACAGGACAATTTTTGACTGATGACAAACAGTCGAGTAAGTGGAGGGGAAACATTTCTGTAAAGAACAGTCTTCGGCCAGCCCAGGCCCTATTTTCCGCTTCCAGCTAATGGACCGGGTTGGGTTATTAAATCAATGAGGAAGCCAAGCCTGGGATCTGGGTTCGTTTTTGATGTAAGCAAGTCCCATTTTCCTTTTACCCCCCAGGGGCGGCTCATTAGATCGATACACCCCCTGCGACACCCGGCAGCGCCCAGATTAGCGCTGGGAGCACCCGGAACACCCCCCGGGCAGGTACCTGTTCAGGATCTTGGTGACGATCAGCTTGACCCAGGGCGCGGTGGGCTCCAGGCAGACTTTCTTGCCTTGCTTCGTGGTGGCTCTGCGGGGAGGCAGAGGGGAGAGCGGGGTGAGCGGGGGGTTGGCGGGGCGGGGAGGGGGGCGCAGGCTGGGGGGGGGCAGCAGGGCCCCGACACTTACATGACTTCTGGCACCCCGCAGTGGGGCCCCTCGGGGATCAGCTCCACGTTGGCGATGCGCTTGGGGGGGATCACCGCCGTCTCGGTCTGCAGGCACTGGCACCGCAGCTCGCCGGCCATGGGGGCACCTGCCCGGGGAGGGGGAGAAAGACTCAGCTCCTGCCGGCGGCCAGATACTCTGCAAGGGGGCGGCCGGGGGACACCGCTCGCCCCACACCCTGGGTCCGACCCATGCCTCCAGCCCGGGCCCTCCCCGCATCCGGCCGGCTCTCGGACACCTGGGTCCCATCCATCCT